TAGTACAATTTTTCTGACTTTGTTCACTAAAACGTATCCCATATCTATCGGCAATAGCATAATAAAAAACCTGTTGGAGGAATCGTGTTTACTATGAAAACGCAAAATATGAATGAATGAACAAATTTTATTTTTAAAGAGGTACAGAAAAACGAAGCGAAGCTGAAGGACATTCGGCCTGACGTGGCTTCGCTACGCGAAAAAAGTTCAGCACACAGTGCTACATTGAATAATAATTGTCACAATACAAAGGAGCGGCATAATAACAGAACACAGAAATCGCATAAAAACAAAAGTAGGTGGCATATAGGTACAAAAAAATAGGCTGCATACACACACAGAATCAGACATCGAAGCTCTTTTTATCACATATCCAAAAAACAAATACTTACATATTGATATATTCATATAATACAATCATATATTCATAGATTCATCTGCCCATATGTACGTACATACTACTCTCTAACATATACACGCGTTTTGTACCTAAAGGTGAGAGTATATGTGGAACCTAGCCAGAAGTTTATTGGAAACATGATGTTTATTATACTCAAATAATGAGGAGATGTTTTATGTGATATTTGAATTGCGTTATAGAGAGGTTAAATTTAATTGATCATCTAAATGATTTATAAGCTGTGGGGCGCGGTATGCAATTAGGGCTCTACCATATCCAGTCCTAGTAGCAGGAACGCGAGTTTGTTGCCTACGTAGCGAGTATTTGAGTGCGCCTTCCTGTGCCGTAAAAGTGTGGAGTTTATTTTTATAAATGTAAAGTAATAGCTTATATTCATACACCTGTCTTGCTTTGAGTATACCATGTTTTATGAATAATGGACCGCTAGGCATCTCCCCTGGATCGCCATAATAATCGTGGAATAGGCGGATAACTTTCTTCTGTAAGATTTTTAGTTTATTGAAATTCTTCTCGCTTGTAGTGCCCCCTACTAGCATACTATAATTTAAACGCGAATAAAGAAGAGCGTAGTATGTCTTTTCTTTAGCCAAATTGGTATAAGTGGATTTATTTCAAATATGCACCCAACAGTCTTACATAGTTCGGAAGCGAGACTATCAACATGGGTATTCCAAGACAAATTTTCTTGGAACCACACTCTGAAAAATTTTCGCGATTTAACCTGCTCCAGCCTTTGCTTTTTGAAAAAGATGTTAATGTCATCCTCGTAGGGCTTGTTGATAGGCTGGAATACTATGTACTTACTTTTAGATACATTAAGCATGAACTTATTTTGATGAAGCCATTTTCCTAATTTGAGTAAGTAATCATTTACTTCAGTTTCAAGGTGCATGAGTATTCTACGTGTAGAAAATCTGTTGGTGTCATCAGCGTAAATATTTACTTTTGGGGATCGTGGACTATCACACAGATCATTATTATATGTTATAAATAGTAACAGTCCAAGGATTTAACCCTGCGGTACACCATTTTTTAAAGTTTTTATTGGGGAAACAAGGTTACCCACCTTAACACATTGTTTTCTTTCGGTAAGATAACTTTTTATAAGTTTAGCTGCCCCGCCCCTTACACCATAATCTTGCAACTTAGATATCAGAATATCATGTTAGACAGTGTAAAAGGCCATCTTCAAGTCAGTGAAAAGACCTATGGTGTAGGTTCTGTTTTCCATGTTTTTTAATATCTCCTCTTTTCTATCTAATAGCGCCGACTCCGTAGACTTACCCTTTTGAAACACATACTGTGCTTTATTGATTATCAGGTGCTTAGTGAAAAAGCATTCAAGTCTGGAGTGTCTTCAAAAACTTTGGAGAGTACCGGTAGAACCGATATCGGGCGGTAGTTTGATAATACATTTTTGGCACCCCCTTTATGAATAGGACAAACGCGGGCTATCTTTAGTTTTGAAGGAAAAATGCCGGTTTCTAACATAGTGTTCATGAAGTATGAAAGAGGGTGTGAAATTAGTGACGCTACATATTTTATCAGGCTGGCTGCTGTTTCTCCTAAATATACCGATAAATATCTAGAAAATCAAATCAAATTAACAATAAATCACTAAATTGATAGATAGATAGATAGATAGATAGATAGATAGATAGATAGATAGATAGATAGATAGATAGATAGATAGATAGATAGGTAGATAGATAGATAGATAGATAGATAGATAGATAGATAGATAGATAGATAGATAGATAGATAGATAGATAGATAGATAGATAGATAGATAGATAGATAGATAGATAGATAGATAGATAGATAGATAGATAGATAGATAGATAGATAGTACTCATTGAAAGTACGTGTTCAAAGTTCTGATAATTCTCATATCTGTGTAAGAATGGAAAATTTTATGTGCATTGCGCGCAAACACCTTTGTACTTCAAATCAATTTAGTGTGATATGACTGCCGTTCTGATATACGACTATAATAAGATATTAATATTGACAGACAGGTACTACTTCAAATATCTCCTGGCCAGATTCACTACACATATTCGCAATGCTTCAAGTATTAGGCCAAATCCCATTAGTAAACAAATCTATATAGAAACCGGAATTCGCACGATCTATATCAGCGATCACACCGCCAGCGCTTCCAACTGCTTTTTCTTCCTAGACCTGCACCTGTACGCACTGGCATCGCGTATGTCTGCAGTAACGTTCTGTGTGAATGCTGTTCGTACAGCAGCCTTAGCTGAAGTCCATATAATAAGCATATGCAGAATGCCCTATTATTACCTGCGAAGCGCATTCAAGCAGCAACAACGCTGGTGACGGTATCTAGTGGCGGTACCAGTACCATATACTGGACGTCCCAATTATCACACAGCACTATTGAAAAATGGAAACGGCGTTACGTGAACAAACCTAGTGCATAGCGTTCACAGCATATATAGAAATAGCAGCCAATAATTTTTGGTAATGGCTACTAAGTAGTCCAAATAAATTTGTAACTCAAGGCCTACATGCCTAATCATCAAAATGTCAATGACGAAGATGTGCACATGTTTAAATCGCATCTGTTTGTGCTATTTTTATTGACGAATTCATTTCTTTCGGTGAGTAAAGAGAGCCGGAGAAATCTGAAAAACAACCCGTCATTGTGCTCACACCCACAAAAAAAAGACGCGCCCTCAAATAATCTTACTGGAAGCAACCGCTTTGCCTTTTTTCCGTTGCCAGAAACAGATTTTAGCCCATTGGCAAGGGTCGGATGCCAACAACATGTGTCGCACTTTTTCAGGGATTCCTTCCGCTTGATTTTGTACATCGCTATCACCATCTTCATCTCAGGGTAAACTGTTATCAATGATAACGTGACCAGATCACTGTTCTGACTGATTGATTACAGCTTGACTTTGTAAGACGATAGTTATAGCGCGAGAACAGAGCGACAACACAGAGACAAGAAGGACACGAAGGACACGAGTGCTCGTGTCCTTCGTTGTCCTTTTTGTCTCTGTGTCGTCGTTCTGCTCTCGCGCTATATAACTATCGTCAAGTCATACCAACTAGCCCAAGCTGCCACACTTCTGACTGTGTAAGATTAAGGTGGTGCGTTTTTTCGGATCGCAAGTGGCACATAGCACGATCTGCATTTTTTCCCAACATTTCCTACAGTGCTACTGGCTATCTCAAAAAGAGCTTGTTTCAGGGTGTCTTTTTTTTGTGCCCGCAGTCACGAGTTATTTTTCGTATTCAGCAGGCATTTTCCACCAGGAAAAAATGAGCCCGCAATCAGTGAGTTCTTGAAATTAGCTCAGGCAGATGTAGTTTCAACATGCACACATTTGCCTCATTAACATTTTGATAATTACTGAAGTACGTTTTCAGTGACAAATATGATTCTGACGAATTAATTATTTGTCATTTACGAAGAAACTGGTAGCAGCTTCTACGGTACACTGGGATATGCACTAGCTTTGCTTTGTGTAGCGCCAATCCTCTTTTATAAAATCGCGCTTCGTGATAGTGGGAACGCCCTGTATATACCAAATAGAACAAGTACTTCTGCCTTCCGCCAGTCATAAAAGCACGTGCATTGTCAGCGGGTGCATACTTTCAGCCAAGGCATTTACTTCCAGCCCATGCGTTCTTAAGTAGCGTCTACTCTTCACGGCTCGCGTCCGTATACAGCAGACTGGAATGGAGATGGTGGGGTAGCGCCCAAATACCGAAGGAAAGGCGAGGAAGAGAAAGACCGTGATGAACGGGTTGGCCTCGACGTCTCATAGTGGCGCTGCTGTAGGGTAACGTAGAACACACAGCAAAACAAGAGAATGCAAAATGGCATGCACGCAGGAGGCAACGACGTGACTACAAACGTTGAAAGAGAGACCTTGAGAAAGTGGGGAAATGAACAATTTCGGTTCGTTGCAATAGAGCCATATCAAGGGTGAGCCCACGGGACGGCTTCATGTTCTCCCTTATTAGAATACGAAGTACTTTAAATCATTACCTTAAAAAAACACGCTGTCAGTCGTCCTGAGTCTTATAGGCTGAACATCCGGAATGTGCAGTCACACACAAAGAAAGAACGGGTAGAAACGCGTCTAATATATGAGTGCGAATCCAGGTTCACTTTTAATCCACTCTCAAATGAATGCTGTGGTCCCCCGAAATTCTTCTCCTTTTGTGAGTTGTCTTCGACTAACACGCTCACTGGGCCCAATTCGTTTAAACAAACTGCAGTTGGATGAATATGCCGCTACAAACTGTCCCAAGCTGCTGCATTAATTAACCCTGGTAATCCGTGAGTGGTAACAGCATTATGTGTAGTCCTTAATATAAACAGTACTACATTGAACGGGCTACAGTGAAGGCTGGCCACCACGTTCTAAACTTCACACACCATTTGACGTCCACGAGAAAGTGCGTTGCAATACAAACGTTCGTACAGCGCCTCTGAAACAATGGCTGCGCTTCGTTTACGCAATGGCGCCGCGTGTGGAGCGCATCGAGAACATATATGGTCTACCTATCATCAGCCGTGTTGGTTTTGCTACGTTTACAGGCTGGACGTGTCGTGCGTTGCGTCGGAGGAACACTTCCGCAGGTATGTTGCACATTCCAATTCACTATAACTCGCACTTAAAGGAAAAAACAGTAAAGCAAAACTCTTACAAGTTTTGTTACAATATATATATATATATATATATATATATATATATATATATATATATATATATATATATATATATATATATATATATATAAGCATCGAATGAATATCTCATTGTTTGTTTTTTGATAATTTGTCATACAGAAAACATCTGTCATATTCTCTGCTACGACAGACTAGTGAGCTGTCTTCAGAGTTGCCAGATGATACTCAGGTAATAAGCAAACATTCATCAACAATGAAGTCCAAGAAAACCGGTGTAAGTTTCGTGAGGCTGGAGAAAAGAAGTGGTAATAAAATAGATAAAATAGAAAAGAAGCGGTAATAAAATAAAAGCCGATAGCCGATGCTTACTCAACGAAGTAGTTATAGATGAGTCATGACTGATCTCGCTGTTATAGATTACTTAAGTGTTACTGGCTTATATATATATATATATATATATATATATATATATATATATATATATATATATATATATATATATATATATATATATATATATATATATATATATATGAGTATTTCAACATATAGTGTATGAGTATTTCAATACTTTTAATACTAATACAGCTGACCCCCATGTTCAGAAACGCTGCTTGCTTAACTTGAACTTGACTTGCCACCGACTTCGACGCAGCACAAACGCGTTTCGCGCTGTTCTTAGGTGGTGCCAAGGCAGCAAAAATGCACATACACGTTTCAAACGTGCTTATTGAAGGCGGTTTTAAGTCAAGTTCAAGTCAAGGAGCGTTTTTAAGTACGGGGGTAAGGATTAAATCATTGAACGGCTGCAATTCAAGGTTACCATTGTATACCAGAAAAAAAACAGTTGTTCTATTGCTACCATTACAAGTTTTTCGTCATTTTAACTCTCGAACTACCCCATTTCTTTCCTTTGTGCGGGGCTTCAGAACAGTTCTGCTAAACTGGTTAACGATTCTGTCTTTCCTCTTTCTTTTTCTTTGCTCTCTTTGTTCCTTATGCATGCGCATAATTTTTAGTCGCTCTCGAGTTTTCGAATGCTTACATCTTAAGAGAGAAGAAAAGAAGTTGTGGAAAATATTGTCACTTGCCTTGAAAAGCTTGGCGGGAAACTGGTGATTTGAGAATTGAAAGCCTGTAACTCCATGTTTTTCGGATGTCTTGCTAAGGGGTTTAATGTGGCATGGGAAGTGTCTTACAAATTGGGAGGCTGAAAAGTGCTATGAAGTTTTTTTTTACATTTCTGCTTAGCACTCCTACCATGAAGGTGCCTCTAAAATGGGTCCACGATTCTTTTGTGAACAAGAGGAGACACATTATTACTAATAAATATGTGCTCTTTTGAAAAAATGTGGGCTTCAAGGTCATGCCTTACCGAGGAATTTTCCAACACAAGGTCATGCGCATGAATAGCCGCGTATGCATGCACCATTCATGTGACACAAGATAAACCCATTTCCTGTCTGGCCGTTTCACCTATTAAAATCAAGAGTCAGCGCGAAGTGAGTCCCTCTGTACATGTTATAAATGGACTAACATTCAGCCCTTACTTTCTGTCTCCGTTGTATCGCTCTTTCTCACTTATTTAGCGTAGTATGACGAGACGCTAAGAATGTCCTTAGTCGCTACGACACTTATTACGGACCTTTTGTACGCACGGCCCAGAATATATTTATTACCTCCTGAGGCAGCCTTCTGTAGATCAGCTGTCAATCACTCAGAAGAAAGGTGTGACGGGAAACACTGCATCACAACTACGTCTGTCCTACAATAAGATGCGCATTTTTAATAATATAATATGAAAGTAGATATGGGCCCACAAATAAGGTACCGGCTACTTCGTATCTTATGAGTGAATCGAGTATACACCGCAAGAAATGGCGTCCAGTAGAGCAGGTAAACTATCCTCTGTGTTTCGCTTCCATCTCTTGGCAGAGCCAGCTCTTTATTGAGATGAACCATACGCGCCATGGTGGTTTAGTGGTAATGCTGCTCTACTGCTGACCCGGAGGAGACGCAACCAAATCCCCACCACTGCGACCACATTTTGGGTTTGGGCAAACATGCTTGATGTCTGGGCACTTAGATTTCCATGCAAGGTCAAGAACACCGCCTGGTAGAAATTTTCGTAGCCCTTCACCACGGCGTCTTTATTAATTGCATCCTGGTTTTGGGTCGTACTACCCGCAACGATCATTACTAATAAATAATAATAAGGTGAATTGTCGCTTGTATAAAGAAGAGCTCCAGTTATAGTCGCAGACGACCTTTCTTGGTAATCTATAGTCGGCGACAACTTTTCTTGGCACTGAAGGGAAAGCTACGGAGGCGGAGCTTCTGCACATGTAGCACTATGCGAAGTACTCCGTCTTGGCGCGCGTCTCGTGACGATGTGGAAGTGACGGGGGCGCACCATCAGCGTTTCATGTAGATGCAGGCAAGGCTTAGCATTTGAGGTGCACGTAAAAAGGCAGGACTTTCTCACACGTTCAAAAATGTGAAGTCACAACAGATAGAGTAAAAGAAAGACGCACATCTTACTGATGTGAGCTGCGTCCTGTCTCAAATAGCTCCACGTCAAATATAAAGGAGGAAAATTTATATTTCCCGTTGAAAATACGGGCGCTACTATGAACTACCTTTATTGGCGGTAGGATGCACGGGATTTGCCTCCGTAGCCTTTTCTTCAGTGCCAAGAAAAGTTGTCAACAAATATAGAAGCAATTATGAGGTCAAGCTTTAGTAGAAGCAACATTACGTAATTGTATCGATCTGGCATTCGTTTTGTACCATTGTGAAGAGTAATGGCTGCTCTTAGCGTCAGCGTTGCAGGCCGTTTGAATTTTTTTGCTTAGACGACAAATTGTGAATAATGTTTGTCGAAAGCTCTTTTTAACTGAGTGGATATAGTGTCTCTTCTTGGTGATGGACGGTCCCGTAAAAACATGGATCCCATTTTAACAATTTTAATATTCACGTACACGTAAATGGGGTGATCTCCTCAGGCGTGCATGAACGACAGACAAGGCTTTAAAAGCAAAGCAAAAATAAACGTGCAACCAACCAGGGCCGAGTCCTGTGACAAAGAGCTTCTTGTAGAAACCGAAGGAGCTTTCAAGCAATGTTACTGCTTTATGTAGAAAACGACGGAGCTCTATAGAGTCCTCGTTACCAACAGGTGTCATACACCAACTAAGAAGTAATAAACAAAAACATAAAGTTTATTTCGGGGCTCATTTTCGTAGCCGTGTCACCGCAGTCCAAAAACGAGTTTCTTGAACGCTAGTTTATGCGCCGACGCTTTCCCAAGGTAAACTGAACTGAATGCGTTCTACTAGGAATGAAAAAAAAAACTATTTAAACCAGTAAATTTGCGACGAGTGCTTTACTGAAATATTCCGCGCTGGTGGACAAGTGGTTATCTAGAAAATGCATGAAATGGACGTCAGGAATCGCACATTTCTGGAAAATTCTGACTTTAAGAAGTTGAATTACTAACCCGTAATCCGTGATCACATGATGGCAATTTTGTTGGGTACTTTCTAATGCGAAGTAGCTCTTTGACTAGCTTGTGTAAAGCTGTCGTTCCGTGCGTTCGTACGAATGCACCACAGCGCGCTCCCCTTGCCGCAGGTGTAGGAGCGGCGCCAAGTAGGTCATACCGCAGCTGCGCGTTGACGTGACTGTCTTGCTCGCCTGCCACGCGCTCGCCGCAGCGCCCACAGCTGCCACCTCGTCCGTTCGCCCGCTACCCCTACCACCGCTCGCTACACCACGGACTTCCAATCTACACTATGTACACCAGCGCTCGACGCAGCACCCGCCTTAGCGCCGTCTGATCCGTGACGCCACCTGTGCGCAATGCTGATGCTTCGCTTCCTATCAAGGTTCCCTTGAAAAGATTGTGTGAATTTTCACAGGCTGACAAATGCTCAAAAAACATGAAAAACGCCATGCCAATCAATCAAAAAAGAAGGAAAGAAGGAAGCAAAAAAGCAAGAAATACAAAAGGAAAGAAAGAAATAAAGGAAGAAAGAAAAAGAAAAGAAAGAAAGAAAGAAAGAAGGAAAGAAAGAAAGAAAGAAAGAAAGAAGGAAGGAAAGAAAGAAAGAAAGAAAGAACAATAAATTAGGTACACCAAAGCAAAGCTTCGCTTCTTCTGAATTCCTTTGATTGGAGGAGAGCTCAGGGTGCACGTTAAAGAACCCTAGGTGGTTGAAATTTCCGAAGCCCTCCACTACGGCATCTCTCATAATCATATTGTGGTTTTGGGACGGTAAACCGCACATATCTATCATGGAGGAGAGCTCAGTTCATCTAAGAGCACAGAACTGATTTCATTTCCGACACACAACACAGGATGCATTTACAGAGCAACTTTCATTAGCGTTCTACATAATTGCTATTTCACTGAATAGCTTTTGATACATTGTCAAGAAGTGTTGCACGCAAGAAACACAAAGATTATAAGCTGCGCCACCCACCAATCGTCAATATGCCTGTCCGCGGCCTCTACAATCGGCATTAGCAATCCTTGTTGGCTATGCCGATTAACGAGGGCCAAGCTTGCTGATCATATTTTATGGAGCCATGCCAGCTACTTTAGTTTAGAAGGATAATTGGGCACCTTTTTAAGCGTGAAGCTCCTTAAGACGGCACCCGTTCGTCCATCGTTGTCGTAGTCGTAGTGTGTAACAAGTGTTACAGTTTGACCGCAAGGTGGTGCCGGTGGGAGATTTCTCCTGTGCTTTTTTTAACAATAAAAAGTTTGCGGCGTGCGCGCTAACCAAAAGCCGAATGCTCCTGTCTCTCATTCCCCATTAGCAGCCATTGGCATCTTCCAGTAGGAAACGTTAGTAGAAGTAGAAGTGTTAAAAGCCGACTTCTGCTGTCTTTCATTCCCAGTAGCAGCCATTGTTTACCTCCAAGGTAGTGCCTGGTGAGAGTTC